CAATGGTTAAGTGCTTGGCTGCTAAGGTTGACAGTTCAAACCCACCTGGGGACCTTGCTCCTCAAAATTTATTGTTGATAGATACCATCTAGTCAGTCCCAGCTCATAGCTACCCTGACCTGTGCTATCCTCACAATTGTTAGATTTGAATCCATTGTTGCTGCTACTATGTCAATTTATCTCACTGAAGGACTTCCTCTTTTTGGATGACTCTCCACTTTACCAAGAATGATGTCCAAAGTAAAGAGATGAAGTTTCACTTCTCAGGAGCATTCTGACAGTACTACTTCCAACAGAGATTTCTTTATTTTTCTGGCAGTCCATGATACTTTCAATATTCTTCTCCAACACCATAATTCAAAAGCATCAATTCTTCTTTGGTCTTCCTTATTTATTGTCCAACTTTCACATGTATATGAGGTGATTGAAAACTACTATGGCTTGCATTAGAAGCATATTTGTCTTCAAAGTGACATTTTAGTTCTTTAACAACTTGAGGTCTTTTGTAGCAGATTTGCCTAATGGAATATATCCTTTAATTTCTTGACTGCTGCTTCCATGAGAATTGTTTGTGGATCCAAGCAAAATGAAGTCTTTGACAACTTCAATTTTTTTCTCCATTTATCATGATGCTATTTATCAGTCCACTTGTAAGGATTTTTGTTTTGAACTGAAATTCATACTGAAGGCTGTATTCTTTGATCTCCATCAGTGTTTCAAGTTCTTCACTTCTGGCAAGCAAGATTGTGCCATCTGCATATAGCAGGTTGTTAATAAATCTTCCTCCAATCCTGAAGCTACACTCTTCTTCATATAATCAAGCTTTCTGGATTATTTGCTCATCATACAGATTGAATGAATCTGGTGAAAACATACATCGCTGCACAAAACTTTCCTGATTTTTAACCATTTCATATCTCCTTTTTCTGTTGGAATGATGCCTCTTGGTCTATGTACAGGTTCCTCATGAGCACAATTATGTGTTCTGGAATTTCCAATCTTTGCAATGTTAGTCCTAGTTTATTATTATCCACACAGTTACATACTTGACATTTTTTTTCAATTCTGTCAGCTTGAGAAATGCTGAATGTGTTCCTACCTTTTGGATTTCTGGATCCAGGTCTTTGCACATTTCATTATAATACTTTGTCTTCTCAAGCTGCCCATTGAAATTTTCTGTTCAGCTCTTTTACTTCACCATTTCTTTCCATCACTTAAGTACTCTGTGCTCAAGAGCAAGTTTCAGAGACTTTTTTGACATCCATTTTGGTCATTTCTTTCTTTCTTCTCTTTTGAATGACTTTTTGTTTTCTTCCTGGATGATGTTTCTGATGTCATCCCACAATTCTCGGGTCTTTGGCCATTAGTGTCCAGTGCATCATATGTTTTTGAGATGGGCTCTAAATTCAGGTGGGATATACTCAAGGTCATATTTTGTTTCTCATGGATTTGTTTCAATTTTCTTCAACTTCAACTCTTCAACCTCAGAAATTGCATATAAGTAATTAATGATTTGTTTCACAGTTGACCCCTGGCCTTGTTTGGGCTGATGATATTGAGCTCCATCTACCCTTCCCACTGATTTAGTAAATTTGAGTCCTGTGTGTTCCATCTCATGAATTCCAGGTGTATAGTCATCATTTATGTTGTTATAAAAAGGTATTTGCAATTAATTATTGGTCTTGCAAAATTCTATCATGCGATTTCCATCATTGTTTCTATCACCAAGGTCATATTTTCCAGACTGAACCTTCTTCTTTGTTTACAACATTCCCATTCCAATCAACAGTAATAATCAATGCATCTTGATTGCATATTTGATCAGTTTCACAATTAAGAAGTTGGTTGTTGTTACATTGTTACATCTAGTTGGTTCAAACTCAGTAACTACTCTTTTAGGGTTAACAGATAGATAGTGGCTAGTGGGTTTGAATGTCTGACTTTACACTAGTAGGTTAGTTGTTGTTGTTGTTATTATGTGCTGTGGAGTCAGTTCCGACTCATAACCCCAGCTTAGGGTTTCCGAGGTTATAAGTCTTTATAGGAGCAGAAAGCCTCATCTTTCAACTGCGAAACAGCTGGTAGTTTCAAACTGCTGGCTTTGCAGCTCGCAGCCTGATTCGTAACCACTACGCTACCAGAGCTCCTTATCCAGTACTAACCCTACATTGTCATGCCAGGACTCTGAAGAAATTGGTGTTGTTGTTAAGTGCTGTCAAGTCAATTCTGACCCATAGCGACCCTGAATAGGGTTTCTGAGGAGCAGCTGGTGAGCTTGGACCACTGATCTTGCAGTATAAACAGCTTTGCAGTCTGGTGCATTTACCCACAGTGCCACATCAGGAAAAAGTTGGTAGAATGCGTCAATTTCATTATCATTTGGTTTAGTGTTTGGTGTGTACAGTTGAATAATAGTGGTATTAATTGGATTTCCATGTTGGTGTATGGATATTATCCTATCACAGACAGCATTATACTTCAAGATAGATCTTGAAATGCTCTTTTTGATGACGAATGCAACCATATTCTTATTTAATTTGTCATTCTGGGCATAGTAAGCCATATTGTTATCTGATTCAAAATGATGAGTACCAGTCCATTTCAGCTCACTAATGCCTGATATCGATCTTTATGCATTCAATTTCAGTTATGATGACTTCTAATTTTCCTAGATTCATACTTCATACATTCTATGTTCTGATTATTCATGGATGTTTGCAACTGTTTCTTCTCCTTTTGAGTTGTGTCCCATCAGCAAATGAAGGTCTTGAAAGCTTTGCTTCAACCACATCATTAAGATCAACTCTATTTTGAGGATTCAGCTCTTCCTCAGTTGTATTTTGAGTACCTTTCAACCTGAGGGGCTCATCTTCTGGCACTGTATCAGACAATGTTCTGCTGTAATTCATAAGATTTTCAGTGGTTAATCTTTCAGAAGTAGTCCACCTCTTTTTCCTAGTCTGCCTTTGTCTGGAAGTTTTGCTGAAACTCCTCTCCTGGGTGCCCCTGCTGGCATTTAATATTCTAGTGACATAGTTTCTAGTATCACAGTAAAACACAAGCCACCTTAGTGGGAGATATTGACAGATGAGTGATGGCTGTGAAAATTATAGTTTAGGAAATCCTATGGAGCAGTGTTCTGGTGAGTGGGAATAGACTCAACAATACACAGAAACAATGATATCGAACATCTTTTCATGTGCCTTTTTGCCATCTGTATATTATTTTATGCAAAATGTCTTTTCATGTCTTTTGTTCATTTTTTAATTTGACTGTTTGATTTGTTTACTATTAAGTTCTAAAAGTTCTTTATAGTTTCCTGATACTATCCCTTTGTTGGTTATGTAGATTACATATGAATATGTTTTCTCCAATGTATAGTTTGGCTTTTAATCCTATTAACTGAATCTTTCACAAAACAAGTTTTCACTTTTGATGAGGTTCAATGAATCAGTTTTCCCTCTTAATGGATTGTGGTGCCAAATCCAAGGACTTAGTTTCCCAACCCTGTATTCTAAAGACTCTCTCCTTTTTTTTTTTCCTCTAAATTTTTTGTAATTTCCTATTTAAATTCATGATCCATTTGGGGTTCAGTTTTGGCCACTGGATGGATGTATAATTGTTCCAGCACCATTTTTTGACAAGTTTATTTCCTTTATTGAATTGCTTTTGTATATTTATCAAAAATCACTTGGACATATCTGTATAGAGCTATATCTGGGTTCTCTGTTCTGTTCCATTGATTTGTATCTATCATTCCATTAATACCACATAGCCTTGATTACTGTAGCTATAAATTAAGTCTTGAAATCATGCAGAGTGATTATTTTAGTTCCTTTGTTTTTCCAGATAAATCTTGAAGTAACTGAATGTAGACCTACAAAAACAGCCCTACTGACATTTAAATTTTATTGCAGTAAAATATATATGATAAAATTTGCCATTTTAAGTGATGTTAATTACATTCACAAAGGTGTATGACCAGCCCTTCTATTTCCAAAACTTTTTCATCATCTCTAACCTTGTTCCCCTAAATGGCATTTTGATAGGAATTGCATTAAACCTGTAGATCAGTTTGGGAAGAATTGACAGGATAACAAGAAGGAAAGGGGGTTACATACCCCTGAAAGTGGGGAAATCGCTGAGATGGAGAAATAGGGGAGGGGTTAGACCAGTTCATTCTGGTTTGGCCCTTTGCTTAGAATTTGCCTTTCCACCCCAGATTTACTGAATCAGAATCTACATTACAACACGAGCCTTCCAGGATCGGTATCACCTGGAAGCTTGATAAAAATGCAGCCTCTCAGCCCCAAACCTAAACCCACTGTGGTTAATTCTGATACGTAGGCCAGAAAACAACTGTTCCAGAGGGCTTCCAAAAGGCTGGAAATCTTTATGAAGTAGACTGCCGTATAGTTCTTTTAGAACTGCCCCAGAATTAGTGAATCTGTAAGAGTAACAAGAGACGCGTGATCCTTATCTGAAAAACTGGAATATAAATTAATAGCACTTTCTTTTTCAATATAGTGTTTTCCAATAAAGTAGCAAGTGACAGCTAGGACAAAAAAATGTCCACAATTCCAGCATTCAATTAACTTATTTGTTTAATGTACAAAGCACATTTGTAAAAGGAATAGGTCAATAATAAACAGAGTATTAAAAATGCTCTAGCCTTTCACCTCTAATTCTTTCTCTGGACATCTCATGAGTTACGGTGAGGACTTAGTCAAAAGTCCCTGTCCGACAGGTGGAAGCCATTTGCTATCTATGTTCATTATGGCTTTGCCGCGGTGAGCTGAAGGAGTAGATTAGGTCGATGCAGGGAGTGGAAGATTGCGATTGCGCTGGAGTTCTAAACTAACCTAGGGGTTGGCTGTTCGGATGCACGAGGCCTTCAGGAAGGGGTGGAGTTAGCTCAGAAACTTAGAAATAGCGTCTTGGTAGCGCGCCTCTCAGATTTCCCTCTGGCATTGAGAAAAGTTGGATCTTCTGACTACAGCATGGAGATGGACGAAGTTGAGGAAGCACCAGTTGAAATGGAAGCAGACTTGGAAATGGAGGTAGATCGACCTTCGGGGATCCCACCGCCAAGGAAACTCGGCAAGCGTGGATGGTGGCTGCAACCGGTTCACTTGCAGAATCCGCTGGTGATACACGTGGAGGCATCGCTGCTGGAGTCCATCTTCGGTGAGCTGGACTTCTTTTCATCTACCCCATCAACCTGAGCCTCCAGTCTGCGCCCCTCATGTTGGTCTTTCTGGAGTTCCAGCGGGCTCAGTTCCGCGTGGTCCCATGCCCCTGGGGGACGCGCGGAGTTGGAGGCTCTACGTTCCTATTGGCCTTGCTTCTTCTTCCCCCAGGCCCCAACATGGTTCTCCTCAAGCTCTTCGAGAGAGTAAACGAGACACTTCTGGACGTGAAAGTGGAAGACCCTTTGGGCGACGCTGAGATCACCATCATCGGGCGCCCATGGCACAGAAAACGGGCCGAGTGGCTACTGCAGGCCATGGCCGGCATTCATCGTCACAGCCGCTTCAAAGGTGAGGGTAGGTGGCCTGGAGCTTCTCCCCGCTCCCTGTTGCTCCGAGAACTGGGGCGTTGGCAGGACATTACCCTCAGGGGGGCTGATACAACCCCCTGACAGAGGTCGCAGAAACCTGTCTTCAGCCACATCTCCCACCTCTGCCCCTGCGGGGCATCTCTGGTCTCCTGCTCTGGTCTCCCAGGCCCTCGCCCTTACCCTGCTGTACTCATTACAGGCGATGAGGTGGTGTCACTGGAACAAGCCATGAGCATGCTGGAAGTGCACCCGGAGTCTGGCGAAAACTGAACATTGTGATTTGAGTATTAATGATTCTAATAAAGCAATTTAACCAGGCTTGTGTGGAGACTTCTGTTTGGCGCCAACTGGGGGCCCAGCTGGAGCGGCAGGCGCACAGATCTCTGGGATTTTGATCTTACTTTTCTGCTACATGTTGGCTATACAACCCTATGTTGTACAACCCGAGGTTGTTGTTGTTGTTATGTGCCGTGGAGGTCAGTTCCGACCTATAGCGACCCTGTACAGGGTTTCTGAGGCTGTAAATCTTTACGGGAGTAGAAAGCCTCATCTTTCTCCCGCAGAACAGCTGGTAGTTTCGAACTGCTGACCTTAAGGTTCGCAGCCCGATTAGTACGTAACCACTACCGTACCAGAGCTCTTAGTAAAACCCAAGATAGAGTGGGTTAGATCTCAGTGTGGGGGGGGTGGGGGTGGGGGCAAGGAAGTGGCCTGGTCAAGGGTGCCTGCATAGGGAGTAGGGAGCCATTTCCTTGAACCCTTGGTAAAACGCTGGCCTTAGACTGCTGCCTTTTCCTGGGGAAAAAAGTGGATGGAATCAGTTTTGTCAGAACTTCTGTTGTCTCTTTAGTCAGTCTTAGCTAAGGAGGCAGGCCAGGTGTTCCAGAGGCGATTTTTTTAAGATGGTGATCTGGACTAAAAGGCAGTAAGGTGACTCATGGGGCAAGTCTGAACCTGATCCAGGAGTAAATAACTTGGACAGACTGGGAGTTTAGCAACAGACCTAGGTGGCGCCCATGTGCAGGGGAGTCCTGGGGGCCTCCACCTCCTACCTGCTTGGGTCTCAAGCTGTGTGGGCGGTAGCAGTTTCCAGGAAGTAGCCTTCTTTCTTGCCTACAGCCATGCTTGCAGCAGGGTGAGCACTAGGAGTGGGAGACCAAAGTTTTTGCCATTGTGTCCATTCAGATTTATGGTGACCCTGTGTGCTTCAGAGTAAAGTTTGTTGTTTTTTTAATTTAAGGTTTTTATTGTGGACTGAGTGAAAGTTTACAGGGCAGATCATCAATTTTACATTCAACAAATCATACACCTTGTTTCATTACATTGATTATAATCCCCTCCATGTACCATCAGTTAACAGTATTTCTCTCTATGCACTTTAGCTTTTTAAAAAACTAAACAAACAACAAAAAGCACTCAGGCATATTTACATTAGTAATTTACATCTCCAAAGGGCACATTCTGCAGGTCTGCTCCTGGCCACCAGCTCTTAGTCCCTCTCTTCTTAGTCCATGAGTCTAGAGACCTGAGTCACTCCCCCTCTCCATGCCCCCATCTCTGCCTCCATCTCTGGCACTGCTGCTTCTCTGGATAAGGTCCCCCATTCTGCTTGTGCGCTTCTCTCTTGATGGTCCTAGGGTCCTCTGTTGCTGGACTGTAAGATTAACCACTCCCTTTTTTCTGTTACAAAACTTCCACCTTTACTATTGTGACAGTCGTGATTAGTCATGATAGCAATTATTGAATCTTACGAATCTTATCCCCATCTCTTTTCACCAGACCCATCTAGACAAGATGACAGCTATTCATTCAGTGGGGATTCTTTCTTTCCCCCCATACTCTTAAACTAAACTCCCTCTTGAAACCTTGTAAGCCAGTCACTTCGTGCCTTTATTGTTCCCTCATTTTAGGTAGCCAATGTCTTAAGTTGCCTATCCCTATCTACCCTGTGTACAGAGCGGATAGCATTGATACTTGATTTGAAGACTCTTTCCCTCTCTGTTGGTTGCTCCATAGATTTTTCATAGCTGTAAAATTTCATATAACCACCACCACCACCAATCTCATGGATGACGCAGGACCGGGAAGTGTTTCGTTCTGTTGTGCATAGGCTTGCTATGAGTCAGTGCTGACTCTATGGCACCTAATAGCAACAACAATCTCATGGAAGCAGATCACTGAGCTTTCTGCAGTGCCAAACCAGAAGGCTTGAACTGCCAACATTTTGGTTAATTAGGTGCCGGTGATAGTGACCCTATGCATAACAGAATGAAACTCTGCCTGCCCTGCCACAGTTGTTAAGTTTGAGCCCATTGTTGCTGCCACTGTGCCAATCCCGTCTTGTTGGGGTTCTTCCTCTGTTTCACTGACCCTCCATTTTTCCAAGCATGAGGTCCTTCAGGGTTGGGTCCTTGCTGGAAATACTAGAGTCAACGTCTTGGCCATCCTTGCTTCTTAGGAGCATTCTGGCTCTGCGTCTTCCAAGACAGATTTGTTTGTTTTTCTGGAATTCCATGGTATTTTTAATATTCTTTGCTAATATCATAAATCAAATGGTTAGTGGTGGTGATTGAAGTTCCAACTAGTCAGTTCTGACTCATCAACCCTGTATTGGGTTTCCAAGGAGTGGCTGGCGAGATTTTACTGCTGGCCTTGCCCTTGCAGTTTGCCCTTGCAGTTCAAACTGAACTAGTGGTCCAGTGCATAGCCTACATCACCACACCAGGACTCCAAATGGTTAGTAGTAGAGAGCAAACTGCCACCCAGAAACATTGGCGTGGGAGATAGGGAGTGGCAAGGCAAAGATAAGAGTTACTAGTGGGACTAGAAACTGGTCTGCTGACACACTGCTGATGTAACCTATGTTGTGTGACCATAAATGTGTGAGTATTTTAGAAGGCATGATAACAGTCAAATATTAAAACCAAACTAAATTTTTTCTTAGGAATTGAGTGAAGATTTACTGACCAGATAACAGGTTTTCATTTAAAAAACCATACACTTTGCTTCATTACATGGATACAATCCCCTCCATGTACCAACAGTTAATAGCATTTACCTCTATTCACTTTAACTATTGCATTCCTCCCTGTGTCTCCCACTCCCTTCATCTTTCCTCTGCCAACCTCCCTCTTGTCTATTGCCTACCCTGTCACCTATGTCTACCCTCTAACCCATGAATAATTTTCCCTTGTCCCCCACCTCCATAACCTTCATAGATTGTTTGTCAAGACCTTTTTTTTTTTTTTTTTAACTTTTTACCACATTGATCTCATACAGTGTTTGCCCTTTTGTGACTGACTAATTTCACTCAGCGTAATGTCCTCCAGGTTCAATTATGTGGGGTGTTTCACAGATTCATTATTTTTCAATGTTTTGTAGTATTTCATTGTGTGTATATAACAAAGTTTGTTTAACCATTCTTCTGCTGATGGGTAGTTAGGCTGTCTTCATTTTCTTATGTCCCTTGTAGACAGCATATTGAAGGATCCTGTTTTCTGATCCATTCTGCTTTTGTATGTCTCTTGACTGGTACATTTAATCCATTTATATTCAGTTTAATTACTGATAGGTATTGGTTGTTGTCAGTTTTCTGTGCTTTTTTTGTGGTGGTGTTAGATTCTTTGTTCCTCATAATTTTCTATGCTGAGATAATTTTGTTTGTGGGTTTTCTTTTCATTTTTATTTTTGTTGTTATAATGTTTACTAAATCTTTCTGGTTTTCCTCTTTTTAAAATTTTGATGTATGTTGTTGTTGTTGTTGTCAGGTGCCATAGAGTCGGAACTGACTCAAAGCGACCCCATGCACAGAAGAATTAAACAATATCCGATCCTGGGCCAACCTCACTACCGCTGCCACACTTGATGCCATCAATGATGCCACCTGGCTGATCCATCTCGTTGAGGGTCTTCCTCTTTTTCTCTGACCCTCCATCTTACCCAGCATGACATGCTTCTCTAGCGACTGTTCCCTCCTGACAATATGTCCAAAGTATAAGAGACGAAGTTTAGCCATCTTGGCCTCCAAGGAGCACTCTGGCTGTACCTCTTCCAAAACAGATCTATTGGTTCTTTTGGCAGTCCATGGCACTTTTAGTGTAGGTGTATTATTTTTCTTTGATCAAGGTTATCCTGTAGAATGTTTTATCTTGAAATCTACTTGACTTCCTTGCCGCTTGGAAGTTCTATATATCTACATTATTTCCTCTTTTTGCTTTGTAGTTGACATCATTATACATAGATATCTTTGGTTCCCTATTTTCAGTCTTCTCTGGTAGCATATTGGTTACAAATCAGGCTCCGAACTGCAAGGTCAGCAGTTCAAAACTAGCAGCTGTTCCGTGGGAGAAAGATGAGGCTTTCTGCTCCGGTAAAGATTTATAGTCTCAGAAACCCTGTATAGGGTCACTATGAGTCGGAACCAACTCTATGGCACACAACCACCACCAACCAGGTTTGTTTTACTTTAAAGGGTCACTGTTAGTCAGGGGCACTTAAAAACAACAAATACTGGGTTGAGTGCTGCAGGTTGTCTACTGTTGTTGCTTCTCAGTACTAATAACTCCCTTTAGCATTTTTTGCAAAGTTGATTTGATCATTGCAAATTCCTTTAATTTCTGTTTATCAGGAAATGTCCTAATTTTGTCCTTGTATTTGAGAGACATCTTGGTTGGGTATATGATTTGTGTTGGCAATCTTTTTCTTTCAGAATTTTGTATATGTCATCCCATTGCCTTCTTGCTGGTATGGTTTCGGCTGACAAATCAGAATTTAGTCTTATTGGTTCTACTTTGTAGGTAACTTTTCATTTGCCCCAAGCTGCTCTCAGGATTCTTTCCTTGTCTTTGATTTTGCAGTTTGAGTATGATATTTCTTGCTCAATTTCTTTGGGGATCTATCCTGTTTGGGTTTTATTCAGCTTCTTATATGCTTATTTTCTCATTCTTATATGATGTTAGGGAAATTTTCTTCCAACAGCTCTTCCACAATTTTCTCTGTTCTGAATTCAGATCAGCCATAAGTTGTTCCTCTTCATGATGTCCCATATAACTCTTAGACTTTCCTTGAATTTTTTCATTCTTTTTTTTTTTTTTTTATTGTTCTTCTAGCATACCAGTATTGAGAAATTTATCTCCAAGCTCATTAATTCAGGCTTCCATTACTTTACATCCACTTCTTTGTTCTCTCAATGTATTTTCCTTTTCTGAGATCTTAGTATAATCTTGTAGATTTCAATTACACTATGTATTATTTCAAAATTTGCATTTATG